GGGGCGGGAGGCGGGGGCCCGGGCGCCTCGAGTGCGGGTGACCCCCTGCACGGGGAAGGGGTATCCGGGGGGGGGTCCCGAAGAGCGGCCCGGGGTGTGCAGGGGCCCTAGGGCGCGGGGACTCACTTTGGGAACCCCCCTGAGGCTCCACGAGGGCATACCCCCCTTTCCTGGAAGCAAAGGGTCCTCCTTCCCGGGGGAAGGTCTTGCCCGGCCCCCATCTCCCCATCGGGGCAGTGAGTCCTGTTTCCCCGCAACCCAGTCCCATTTCTGCCCGCTCGCCGGAATGAGAGGACTTTGGGGGGAAAAAGTTCTTCGTCTCGCGCCTAGAAAGTGGAAAGGGAACCTTTTTGCTGCCAGAGTGGCCGGGCCCTCAGCGACATGGGGAGGGTGAGCACCTGGTGGATGCTTCCGGTGGCTTGAAAGCATGGTCTGTCTCTTTTGGGGACGGAGGAGAGGGTCCCATCAGTCTGTCTGGAAGCGGGATGACAACAGGGAAGTGTCACATGCTGGTGTGGCTGACCTCCCCAGCTCCGTTCGCAGCCTCCCCGCGGCCTGGAGGGGAGGAGGCTGGTGGAAAGGGAGGACTTCGCTGCCCCTTTCAGGAAGCAGGCGATCAAGTGCTTTCTGGGGGTTGTCCCAATGCCTGCAGGGCAGGGTGGGAGGTCCCGTTAGGTGCACGCCCTCTTCCCGCCCAGTGTGATCTGTAGCTTTCTCACCTCTGGAGTCGGATCTACCCGGTTATAATGTGCGCTTGATCTGGGCGCCCACCGAACTGTCTGGTTTGAGAAGCAGCTGCAACTGGAGGGGGGCGGGTTGGTGGTGTCTGTTGGGCTGGGATAAGGCCCCATCTGGGCATCCCAAGAGCTTTGGCTCCAGGTGTCAAAAAAAATAAAATAAGAGAGGTGAAAAGATAGATTCTTAGCTCGTGGTTTGTGTTTCTTTGGAAAACTTATAATAATCTCACAGATTCTAGTCTTCAGTTGGTTGGGTTGGGATTTATTTGAAGTTGCTTTTCGTGTGTCTAAGATGTAACGTGTGGTCCAAAAGGGTCTTTCATTTTGGTCCAATGAAGATTTCAGGTGCCTTGAAGCTAAAGCTTCCCTGAGATTTGTTCCACAAATGCAAAAATTTTGAGGGTGAAGGAGGTAAAGACAAGTTGTGCTCTTGAGCATCCCAGAAGAACCTGGCTGTAGTCATGCTTTCTGGTTCTCTGCGCCGGGCGCTCGGGCGAGGAGGTGTCTGAAAGTTTTCCCAGGGGAGATGACCTGCGGGAGGACCCTCCCTGGGGCCTGCCCTGTGGTTCCATTCACTCCTAGAACAAGTCAGTGTGGGTTACAGTCTGACCACAAACAATTTAGGCACAAATCCCATCGAGAAAGGGAGTTTTGAAATTCCTGGATAACTCTTGAACTCTGAGGTCTCAGGTGAAAACTCTTTCTAGAATGTCTTAAACCAGCAGGCTCTTCCCTAAATCAGGGGGAAGCCACTCCCAGGCCAGCAGCAAGAGCTGTTGGGTTTTCATGAGCCAGAGATGTTCTGAGAAGTTGATCTGAGCACCGTGGAGGGTTGTTCTGGTGGTAATTCTTCTGTGCTTACAACTTTATTTCTAGATCGCAGCCAAAATTGGAGGCGACGCTGCTACGACAGTGAATAACAGCACTCCTGATTTTGGTTTTGGGGGCCAAAAGAGGCAGTTAGAAGATGGAGGTAACTGTCTGCTGGGAGGGAGGGCTGGGGGTAGAGAGTGAGGGGCCTTTGTTTGAATGTGGTTCAGAGGAGGGGGAAGCCTGCTGCCATTTTGGTCTTTTAAATCCTCAGCCATCCCAGCTTTGTTCGTTCTTTTTGTTTGGTCTGCCGCCCTGAGGTATCAGGTGGCTGAGAGGAGGGCAGATTATTGTGACCAGGTCCAAGTTGTAAGCTCTCAAGATCGGCCCTCCCCTCCTGGTGGGCTGGGGAAATGCTGGCGGTTTTTTGAGGCCCCACAGAAGCAAAGTTTGACTGGTCCTGGGGTGTGCAGTATTACCCACAGTAGTCAAAATGATGAACTCGGTGATCAGCCCGACTGCTTTCATCGAGGACCCTCCTGCCCCTAAGGCAGGTCCCGTCCTAAGCTGGGAGGACTCAGTGCGGCCATCATTGTGCCCCCATTATCAAGGGCTGCTTTACCCTGAGTGCAGTGGCAGAGTTGATGAAGTCTGGTCCCCCTCTGGGCTGGGTCTCTGCTTCTCTCTTGTCTTGGCTCTGGTGTTGGGGGAGGGGGCCTGTGTGCCAGGACGTGAGGCACCAGCATCGGATCTGAGGCAGCTGTGGGTGGGTGGGAGCTGCATCTGACAGCCTCTCTCTTTCACAGACCAACCGGAGAGCAAGAAACTCGCTTCCCAGGGAGACTGTAAGTCCACTGGGGGACGCGGGCAGAGGGCAGCCTCAGGGTCGTGAGAGGTTTGTAGGAATCAGGAACTAGGAGCACGGAGCAGACAGCACTTCTCCTTTATGGAGGCTCTAGGTGTTCATCATCTGGGGTGTATGAGCCTTAGGGATCCCGGACCCCCAGACACTGAGGCAGAAGTACTCACTGTGTGTGCTGTGTGAGGAGAGGTCCGTAGCGCCCAGGTGCTCGGGAACCCTCAGAAGCACTGTCACAAGTGCTAGTGGCCCCTTGTGCAGGCAGGAGGACCTGGGGCCAGAGTGTGCAGGGTCAAAGAGGACCAGGCCAATCTTTCCTCCTCTTTTCTGTCTGCAGCCATCAGTTCTCAGCTTGGCCCCATCCATCCTCCCCCCAGGTAAGTTGTGATTCAGGGAACACGTCATTTCCTTGTCTGTCAGCTGTCTCTGGCCTTTCTTACGGATTTGGGGGAGCTCTGTCTGGGAGCTGCACTGTTTAGGGCTTTGCCTCCGTTGCTGGTCGACCAGAGAGGACGGAA